ATCTTCTTGGCGTTGACTCAACCAAGCACTGACAAGTTTCCTTTGGTATAGCATACAACTCTTTTTGAACTATGGTCCATAGTTGAGCCTTATTTGAAAATGCTTGACCGGATAACTTTCTTTTAAGTTCGTTCCATAAATTTTCGTAGGGGCTGATGTCACGAGATTGGCTAGGCCATGAAATATCAGTCACTTTGTTTGCACGAAACATTCCTTTGCATACTTAGAAGTGTGTTTTGGATCATTGTCTAGCTGAAAATGTCATATAAGAGGCATGTTCTCTTTTGCATAAGGGAGCATAACCTCCTCCATGATTTCTTTGTATTCAAATCTGGTCATGATGGAATTAATACGGAAAATGGGACCTACTCCATACCAAGAAAAACAGCCTCTAACCATGATGCTACCACCTCCATGCTTTACGGTCTTTATTGTGTACCGAGGATCGAGCTCTTTACCGGATGGTCTACGTTAGAATATATTACATGGCTATTTTGATTTCATTTGACATGTGGAAGTTTTTGCTCAGCATACTTGATTAGGTAAGTGATTCAACAGGTTTTTTTTCCTTGATTTTGTTTTCCGTCGATTTTGGTTTCCGTGCTGAGCTCCCACACCTGGACCCTACCTATCGACTCATCAACTCATGACCCGGGGACCAACGGCTTTACTTCCCAGGTCTGCTGGGGTGAGAGGTAATCACGCTTACCACTACACCACCGGCACCGGGTGTGTAAAAGCAGGAAAGTACCGGAGGTACTTAATTCATAAATATCCCAAAACTCATCCGAAAGCTAATTGAGCCATGCGTTTTGCATTGAGCTGATATGGCTTCTGAATGGTTTCACCAGTTTTGAAGAATAGCCTCTCTGACGGAACACTTGCTACCATTTTTGATAAATAGTCTAGAGCAATGGGGTATACATGGGGATATACACTACGGATTTTCTCACATGCTCGAAAGGATCGACAGAACGTGGGAAAACAGGCTGATGCAAGAAATTTTGTAATTCTACCGATATGCCCCCATGGTGATCCAGTTCTGACATAGCAGAGAATGGATGATTCTGATATATGTCATAAGAAGTGAATGTTTGTGCATATGTAGATTAATAACTTTCTTTACCATTTCGTCATGAATATGCCACAGGCCTCCGGTTCGTTTTGGTAGGGGGACAGGTGTGTGCATATCTTCGTATACTCTTTCGGTACTAGAGATCTGCTCAAACATAATTTTAACTGCCCAAACGTGAGCTGAAGACTCCAGGTACAGGTCAATATTAAATTGCAAATTCAAATGCACTGATATTTTTATTGTTGGATCGAAACAAAAATCGAATGAAAAGGATCGATCCAGTTGATTTTTGTTTTGAATATTTCGATTCAAGATCGCCCATTGCTAGTCAGTATACCAATTGACATATTAAAACTAAAAACTTAATCTTATCTAGCTAGCTTAATCTTATCTAGCTATGTCCTAGTTGCTTTCTGTGTCCTAGTTGTTATGACACAGTTTATGTACGCATACCTTAACTGTGACCTCACAGTCAGCAGTAAAACCTTTTCCTCTTTCCATATTTTGAAACCCTCATAGTTGTTAAGATATCAGTTAAGATATAAGATGTTTATTCGTCAGGCAAAGTTTGGATTTCCTGTTTATAAGAGGATACAAACATTTTATATATTTGTTACATTTGGCTTGAATGCCTTCAATGTGATCTTTATAGGTTAATTTTTGGTCAAGTACTAATTCAAGATAATTCACTTCGTTTGACCAGGAAATTGGAACTCCGTTCATAGTGACTACGTGGCTATTACTAGGTTTCAAAAAGGAAGCTCTAGGCTTATGTGGAAATATTATAAGTTGAGTTTTGGAAGCGTTGGGAGAAATCTTCCATTTTTGTAAATAAGAAGAGAAAATATCTAAACTTTTCTGCAGTCTGCTGCAAATAACACGAAGACTTCTTCCTTTAGCGGAAATGCCTGTATCATCAGCGAACAAAGATTTGTGGCAACCCTGAGGCAAATCAGGGAGGTCCGAAGTGAAAATGTTATACAATATAGGCCCAAGAATGCTAGCCTGAGGAACTCCTGCTCTAACAGGTAGTTGATTAGATTTGGAATTTTGATAATTTACCTGCAGAGTTCCGTCAGTTAAATAATTCTGAACTAATATCATAATGTAAAGTGGAAAATCAAACTTTTTCAATTTAGCAATCAAACCTTCATGCCAAACACTGTCGAATGCTTTTTCTATGTCTAGAAGAGCAACTCCAGTTGAGCAGCCTTCAGATTTGTTTGAACGAATTAAATTCGTAACTTTTAAGAGATGACGAGTAGTTGAATGCCCATGGCGAAATCAAAACTGCTCATCTGCAAAATATCTAGTTCGTTTTGATGTGAAGTTTAATTCTAATCAAAATTATCTTTTCAAAAAGTTTACTTATTGGAGAAAGCGAACTTATTGGACCGTAACTAGAAGCTTCAGCTGGATTTTTATCCGGCTTCAAAATTGGAACAACTTTTGCATTTTTCCATTTATCAGGAAAGTATGCCAAATGGAAACATCTGTTAAATAATTTTACCAAGAAAGACAAGGTACTCTCTGGGAGTTTTTTGATGAGGATATAGAAATTTCCATCATCACCTTAAGCTTTCATATTATGAAACTTTTTAGTTATAGATCTAAAGTCATCCAAATCAGTCCCCTGGAATCATCAAAAATATTTTCCCGTGAGAATATATTCAGATAATCCCGAGCAACATGATTCTCAATAGGACTAGTAAGACCCAAACTGCAATAATGGAACATCTCGAATTTCTTAGCAAGTTTCTGAGCTTATTCGTAATTTTACCACCTTCTTTAAGCGATGGAATAGGCTTTTGAGGTTTTTTTTCATTTTTTTTTTTCAATTTCCAAAAGGTTTTGGAACTCGGGTCTAATTTAGACACATTATTTTCAAAAGGTTTGTTCCTCAGGGCAGAGAATCGCTTTTAAATTTGTTTTTGCAAATCCCGCCAGATAACTTTCATGGCAAGATCGCGTATTCTTTGATATTGTCTCCTACGGACATTTTTAAGACGGATCAAGAGCTGAAGATCATCGTCTAATATAATAAAATCGAATTTAACCTCGCTTACTGGTACTGAGGCATATCTTGCTTCAACTATAGAAGTAGTTAGAGATTCAACAGCATAGTTAACATCATCTTTGGTATGCAAAGGAATGATTGGATAAAAGCTATATTTCATAAATGTTCGATACTGCTCCCAATCAGCTCTATGGTAATAAAAATAGAGTTGTTGGGATTGGAAATTATTTCTTGGAATATTACAAAGGTTACAGCTATAAAGTTGACATGGATCAGTTAAGACCAAATCAATAGTTGAGGGATTTCTTGCTGAAGAAAAGCATGTTGGGCTGTTTGGATATTGAATAGTGTAATAACCTGCAGAACAATCATCAATCAGAATTATACCATTGGAATTGCTTTGAACATTATTCCAAGAGCGGTGTTTTGCATTAAAAATCATCAATGATGAAGAATTTAGACCTATGACGGATAAGTTTCTGAACGTCACCCTTGCGAAAGTTCTTTTGCTGACCTGTGCATTGGAATGGCAAATAGGCAGCTTTAAATGTTTCGAAAACTTTGGTTTCTAACGAAGAAATAATTTGATGCTTGATACGTCCATGAACAATGATGGCAACGCCACCACATGCTCCATCAAGACGATCATTTGGCTAGAATTTTGATTTCTTCCAACTGTAATAGGTAGCTCCATTTACTCGCTGAACATAGTTAGCAGCGAGGGGAGCAGGTATAGAAGAAAAATATGAAGCAGGGGTGATATCTGTACCTACAGACGTACGAATGTAGAATTTATTCCTTGCTGACCGTTGTTAACAGCAGAGAAATTAGTACCTGATCGGGAACGTGGAGCGTTTTCTACCTGCCAATTGGAACTAGATTGTACATTCGCTTTGCGGGTCATCCATTCCCAAAAATTGGATTTGTGATTTTCACCAAAATTTGAACATTTAAATTTTCTTAAGATCTTCTTCACTGGACGGTCGTCTTTTGTGTGAGAGGAATCACCACTGCTGAAGCTGGCATGTAGCAATGTTTAGTTCCGTGACTTCACTTGGCATAAGGCTAGTTTTTTTTTTCTTTCTAAGGTCTATCCCCTTAAAGTTGTTTAGTTCACTAGACATGAAGTGAACTAAATAAAAGTCATTAGAAACCCCGTTGCGTGAATTTCCAGAACGGGATTTCAATTTCATTTTGATTACTTGATCTAGGGATTCACCACTGGGCAGACCTTTTAAGACTAGCTTGAACACACGTTCAGTTTTGGTTTAGTTAGTAAAAAATGTTCTTGAAAAGACCTTTGAATCCATCCAAGATTTCAGCCAATACACTGCATTCACCGTCGGGCCAATTTGAAGTGAAAACTTAAATTGAACGAAGGTCAAAAGTTACATGTGAAGAGCATGAAAATCGGAAGTGGTTATAACAATAGGGGGACCCTTTTCGTTTTTGGAATTAATTCGGTAATGTTTAATGGAATTTTGTCTGGACGATGGTTCATTCTCATCATCCGTAAGCATATCAAATTGATCGCTCAATTGAATTGCATCAGAAAGGAGATCAAGTGATTGCCCTTTTCTTTTGTGCTTAAGCCTTTTTTTTTAGTTCGATAATAATTTGTAAGTGTTACACACTTTAAGTCGAAATGAAAACAGATATGTGTTCCATTTGTTTTCAACCAGTGTAATGCAAAGTAAGGCCAAATATAGATAGCTAAGAGACTGTCATAAACTGTACATCTACAAAGTTGAAATAATCGACTGTCGATTGCGCATCAGTTGAAGTGTACTATCTGCCGCATTTGATTGATAACCATAGCCGAACGTTAACTTGAAACCAAACTATCAATTCATCGTGTCATGAGGAAACAGTACTTCCTTCAATACAGTGCGTGAAATCAGACAGAAAATGTCTTTCTCACAGCTTTTGAAAGCTCATTTCAATGAATACCTGGCGGCGCTGGCTGGTACATTTGGCGAAACACGCAAATTTGCTTCTCAATCTACAATTATCCTACAATTTCAGTTGCTACTGCGTTATTCATGATATTACTATGCATGAGCTGGAGTTCTCCAGCCCTGCCGAAGCTATTGGCAGAGGACTCACCTATCCCTATCACCCCTGACGAGGGATCCTGGATAGTGGCGATTATTTCGATAGGACTGATCCTAGGACCGTTTGTAGCCGCGAAGGCAGCCGATAGGATCGGTCGAAAACGCACCTTGCTGTTTTCTGCCGTTCCTATTATGGCAGGATGGCTACTGATGGCGTTTGGCAACACGGTTCTATGCTTATACTTGGCACGATTTTTGTTTGGATTATCTTACGGAACGGTGTTCTCCGTGAAACCTTTGTATTTCGGTGAAACCTTCTCACCGAATATCCGTGGTTCAGCAGTGATTCTGTCTGGAGTCTGTGGCAAGCTGGCAGCAATAGTGATGTACGGGATTGGCCCACATGTTGCATTCAGGACTCTGGCTTGGATTGGTATGATTGGTCCGATCGTATTTGTTCTTTCCTTCATGTGGATGCCCGAGTCTCCACATTTTTTGCTGAGTAAAGGAAAATTCAAGGAAGCTGAGAGTAGTTTATTGTGGCTTCGCCGTTCCAGCAATGTGACCAAGGAGCTCGAAGTGATGAAAGTATTTGTGCAACGTTCCAACCATGAAAGCGGTTCATTCTTGAGAATGTTCGCTCCCGTATATCGCAAAAATATACGCATCATGTGCATCATATATTTTGGGTTGACCTTTACTGGTGTGTTCATGATCAAGGCATATGCTCAAACAATCTTTATGAAAATATCAAGCGACATAGAACCCGCTGAGATGTCGCTTATCCTTGGAGTCATCCAGGCTTTGGCCACCGTGATTACATTCCTGACCATCGATCGAGTAGGCCGACGGCCATTGTTGCTCTTTTCGGCAACCGGAACCACACTGGGACTTTTGGTGGTCTGTGTGTATTTTGCAACTTCCTCGGAGAACGATGCACCATTCTTGGGCTGGATGGCATTCATCGCACTGCTGGTGGTTGTCGCATCGTTCGATATGGGGTTGCTCGTTATTCCTCCCATTTATGGTGCTGAAGTGCTTCCGAGACCGATCCGTGCATATACCAACGCTACCAGTACCAGTGTCTTAGGTTTGGCACATTTCATGAACCTAAAACTGTTCCAGGTCTTAACGGACTACGTTGGTACTTATGTTCCGTTTGCGGGATATACCGTGGCCGGGTTGATTACAGGTGTATTGATCTATCTATACGTGCCAGAGACGAAAGGAATGTCTTTGGAAGATATTGAACAGATGATTGCAAAAGGGCAAGTGAGAGCGGAGAAACGTGTGAGTGATGTGGAATTACGCAAAGACTGATTAAAAAATAAACTTAAATTAAATAGGGGAAACGCTCCTATAGTTGCGGTACGTTAGAAGCGTTAGGTTCCTATAGTTTTGCATAGAGGCTCAATAAATAACTATAGGAACCTAACGCTTCTAACGTATCGCAACTATAGGAGCGTTTACCCTACCGTCATGTGATCGGCAATGTTTTAATATATGATAGTTTGAAAGAATTTTCCTTAATGTAATAATAAGGAAATACGTAACGAAATCAGCTATTACTGCACATGGCATTAGGTAAAATGTACATTACGTAAGCGTTAACATTATGTGGGAACGGTGTTCACAAAAAAAAAAACAGTGAGTGAGAAATTTGTTGAAAATATTCCAATATCACCTTGTTTACTTCCAGCCGTTATCTATCCAGTTTGAAGCTGATAGTAGAGTTCCATATTTATCAATTAAGCCGTTATTTACGCCGTGCGATAGGTGAAAATATATATTTAAATGCATTGACATTTAGTGAAGCCTAACTTTTGCTCGTGTCATGACAATTGTCTCAACACATTTACAGAAAAGGGGAGCTTTCAGGACCATGAATAGAACAATCGTAATTTCCATGACTTTAATTCTGTTTATTGCCTCCTAGAGACATCTTGCCTGCTTGAAGGTAGTACGAACCAGAGACGATTTTTAATAAGAGACGCGCGAAGACTGAAGCCAAAAGTTCCAATCGAACCGTCAAACGCGGTTCCAATCGAGCAATGTAAATAAATACGAGCGCTTCAAGAGGAAAGCGTGAGGAGTATTGCGATGGCGGTTAATATTTAACTGCTGTGTAGTATATTTGGTTATAGTAGACAACCTAATGTTCCAGTTCGGGATATTTTGGCTCGACGCGATCTGGAGTTTATGCAACTCATATATGTTTTCTTGAAGAATATTAACCATAGATTGTAAGTTTGATTAACCTTGTGTTTAGTTTGTGTTTTGTATGTGTGTGTGTATTTTTTTTTTTGTAGATTTGTTTCTGTAATAATTGTATAATTACAGAGTTGATATAAAGTCGATAGGATTAAGTATATGTTTTAGAAAAAGTGAAATTTTTGAATCATAAATCATATTCCAAATCACTTTTTCCCTCTCCCGATCCAAACAATTGTCAACCAATAACCTCGAGAAGACCGCGAGTAATCAGTTCCAATCCTTTAATTTTAGATTTAAGACATTTATAATGTATAAAGAAAATGATAACTTGGCTCTGTAAAGTTTATTCGATTGAGCCTGTACAAATAAAGTAATTAAATAAAGTAAAAAGTATATTTGGTTTGACTCAGTGTTGTCAAAATGTATTATTCAAATACTTCGATTGAATACCGATACTACCGAAACGATGAAAAAGATATTCCCTCAAATTAAAAGTCACTCGAAATAAACACAAAATTGCTTGTTGCCAAACATTGCAGACAAAATAACTTTATTGGCCGTGCAACCAGATTTACTTTTATTCTCTCCGCGCGTATCTTATAAAACATCGTCTCTGGTACGAACACTTATGGACTAATGGCATATAAATTTTCTACTCTTAATATTAAGCCACGGACAATTAATTTCCATAGCGAAAATTGCTCTACAAAACAAACTATACCTAACGTAAACAATAACAATAAATGGCATATTAAAACACTAAAGAAGGAACAGTGGAAATTCCACTACTGTAGATCGTATCCCGGGGACCGATTTGTTTTCCGATAATTGTTCACAGAGGACAGTGCAGTGCAAAACATGTCTGGTACCTCTATATATGCATTTTGATTAACATCCGAAGTCCCTCCTTCTTTACACATTCTGCACTCAAAATAGCTCACATTCTGCACTCAAAATAGCTCCTTCCGAATTATATGAATGGGGAGGGGCAGAAAGTATCGTTTGTGCAGAATATGTCATATACAGCATAAGTTTTAGATCGTTTTTAAGCCAAGCGTCAAATTAAATAGCTATTAATTAATTAAGAGATTGATAATGTTATGGCATGATCGAGCTGCAGTTTTATGGGCAACACTTTATTCCGCAGTGTGACATAGTAGCCATGATGTTTGTGCTCTATTCCATGCACCAGAAACACCAATGTTGCCTGCTTAGCAGGTAAACTTTGATTACTTGCATTTTATCAAAAAGGGATATTTAGAAAATTTGTGGCTGAAAGTTTCCTACAAGTGCTATCATTTTTTGAAGGAGAGTAATATGATGAATTGTTAGATAGATATGAACAAAGAATTGTTTTTTCCATAGAAATTTCCATATAAACATCAAATGGTTTGTGCCAAGTATGTTTCTTATCAAAGGAGTTCAAATTTTGGAAGCCGATTTGGAATCGTTTAAGCACTGCGGAACAAAAATTTCACATTATGCATCAGTCTAATGCTTCATTCTTGCGGACGATTTCTCCAAGATAAACTCTAGATAGAGCTGGAATAAGGGCGTAACTGCTTTTGTAAACAATGACTTCTCTCGATGATTTCTAGAAAGCCAAGGCTCGCCCACTCAAATCAACGTCCCCATCGGGTAGGGGAAGACTTCTCCTTCCCATTGGTTATGTTGGAATGCGTTGGCGAGCCTTGAGAAATCATCGAGAGAAGTCATTGTTTACAAAAGCTGTTACACCTTAATTCCACCTCTATCAAGAACTATGTGTAAAATTTACTCTTATATACTCCTTGAATAAAAGTTATCAAAGAATTATCTCGCTCAGTTTATTATATCTTTCTCATACACAGCTAATATTGACTGCAAAGTCGCTTACTGATTAAAACATATTAAATTTATAATACCAGATAGCCACTCAACCACCTGGTTATCTTGCTTTAATGGACAATGTTGTGAAATACATCATTTTGGATTCAATCATCTCTTATGCTTGCGCCAAGATAAGAATAATAATAATACACGGCAGACTTGACATTTAAGTATGACTATGGCTTAACACTACAATCTGCTTCAAACCGGATAGATAACGATAGTGCGTAAGCTTGACATTATGGAATATGTCCAAGGGAAATTATTTTATCAACTACCGTGTTCTGTTGTTATCAGTTATTTACAAACACACCGCATTTACAATGTAGTAAATTTCAGGTATCAAAAAGCAGTAATAGCTGATTATGATGCTGATTGTGTATCCCTATCAAACGTTTTAGTGAAGGTCAATTCTTTCAAACTATCAAAGATTCAAATGTTATTAATTATTTCTTGCTACAAAACCTCTCGAAACTTATCACATACAAAATTATCAAATTTTAAATCAACCATTGAACAGTTCCACATCACTCGCACGTTTGACCGCTTTCACCTGCCCCTTTGCAATCATGTGCTCAATTTCTTCCAAAGACCTTCCCTTCGTCTCTGGCACGTAAATGTAGATCAATACACCTGTAATCAACCCAGCTACGGTATATCCTGCGAAAGGAACGTAAGCCCCAACGTTGTCCGTTAAGATTTGAAACAGTTTCATATTCATGAAATATGCCAAACCAAAGATACTGGTACTGGTAGCGTTGGTATATGCTCGAATTGGTATCGGAAGTACTTCAGCATCATAAATGGGAGGAATAACGAGCAAACCCATACCGAAGGATACCACAACCAACAACATTGCGATGAATGCCATCCAGCCCAAGAATGGTGCATCGTTTTCGGTGGAAATTGTAAAATACACACATATAACCAAAAGTCCCAGCGTGGTTCCGCCTGTCGAAAAGAGCAACAGTGGTCGCCGTCCCACTCGATCGATGGTCAATGCTGCGAGTGCTGAAGACAATGTTTGGATGATTCCGAAGATCAGCGACATCGCTGAGGGCTTAATGTCACTTGATATTTGTATGAAGATCGTTTGAGCATATGCCATGATCATGAACACACCAGTAAAGCTCATGCCAAACAGTAGAATCCACACGATGCGTATATTTTTGCGATAAGCAGGAGCGAACATTCGCCAGAATGAACCGCTTTCATGTTTGGAACGTTGCACAAATTCTTTCATCGCTTCGAGTTCCTTGGTCACATTGCTGGAACGGCGAAGCCACGCTAAACTACTCTCAGCTTCCTTGAATTTTCCTTTACTCAGCAGAAAATGTGGAGACTCGGGCATCCACATGAAGGAAAGAACAAATACGATCGGACCAATCATGCCAATCCAAGCAAGAGTTCTGAATTCAACGTGCGGGCCAATCCCGTACATTACGATGACTGCCAGCTTGCTACATACATCGCATAACACCACTGCTGAACCACGGATATTTTGCGAGCAGCTTTCGCCAAGATACAAAGGTTTCACTGAAAATACCATCCCGGAAGATAATCCAAACAAAAATCGTGCCAAGTACAAGTATCCAACCGAGTTGCCAAACGCCATCAATAGCCATCCTGTCGTTACGGGAATGGCAGCACACAGCAGGGTGCGCTTTCTACCGATCCCATCGGCTGCCTTCGCCGTTACAAACGGTCCCAGGGTCAGTCCTATCGAAATCATCGCCACTATCCAGGATCCGTCATCAGCGGTGATCGGAATAGGTGAATCCTCCGCCAATAGCTTCGGAAGAGCTGGAGAACTCCAGCTCATACATAGTATAACCATGAACAGTGCAGAAGATACTGAAATTGTAGGATAGTTGTAGATTGAGAAGGAAATTTGCGTGTTTCGCCAAACGTACCAGCCAGCGCCGCCAGGTATTCATTGAAGTGAGCTTTCAAAAGCTGTGAGACAGACATTTCCTGACTGAACTGCACGAACTGTATTGAAGGAAGTATTATTTTCATATGGCATGATGAAATGATGGTTTGATTCCAAATTTTCGGTAAGCTATGGTTATCAATCCAATTTCCGCAGATAGTGCAGTTCAAGTGATGCGCGATAGAATTTCGATTGTGCCATGGGCGATAGATGTATTGTTTATGGCAGTCTCACTATCCTATTTCTATTTGGCCTTACTTTGCACATCATTGCCAGTATGATACACTCAAAAAATTGCCCACGTCATCATCATGTGTCTCACACTTAATTTTGCGCTTATTGTGAAACACATCCATTTCATGTGTGAATCTTATGCTATGAACCATGCCTGAACACTATGGATTGGAATTGTGACATACTTGGATTCTATGTGCCTCATATGGTGATATCAATAGCTTTGCACATCATAGTTCAATATTCTACAATATTCTACTTTATCGACTTCTACTTTACCGACTCTAAAAATGAATCGACAAATATATAAACAAATTTCAGAGGTCAGAGCTTTCACATATCTTTTTAATGGGCCTGATCATGGATTCGATCATGGACTGTTGGGGTGTGCTGCTGTCGGAGTCTTCGTTCGATCTCACTGCGCCACGATTGTTCTCATATATGAGGCGGCTTGATAGGATAAAGTCACAACTCTAGTTTTCGATGTTTACCTTTCTGAGCAAGCAATTCACATCGTATTGAAATGGAAAACACTTTAAATCCATCTGTTTTGAACAGTAGTGTGATTCAATGTGCAATACACTTGAATAGATAGTGAAAGATTTTCAACTTTTCAAAGTTTGAAACACTAGAAATTAACGTGTATAACACATTGAACTAAGGTGAAATACACTTTAAGTAAATGTGATTGTGCATTTAAAAAATCAAGTGTTTAAACACTTCGATCAAACGTGTGGAATTTTTTGAGTGTAGGACTTGAAAACTCCAAAAATTCAAATCTCACCACAGAACAAGATCACGCTTGATTTTCGTAGACAAAAGCGCCCATTACACATGTCAATGTATTGACACACATCGTATTGTCAATTTTTCTTACAATATTATCAATACATAATTATTGAAAACATGATTTACAACACGCTTAAGCGCTTGTTACACGGATCAATATATTGACAATAAATTGACATACTGACAATACTATTGAAAAGGTAATTTTGATGACGTTGGATTGATGACGATTATTGTCGAAAAACTGATTTTCATTTCACTTCGTCAATATTCTTCCCCTATCCAAGAAGAGGGAGAACCAGGGGCCTGGCTGGCGGTCATGTTTTTGATGCTATCATCTGCTCTTCCCTAATAAACGTGTACCATATACTGACGATATCTTAGATGGTGCGACCATACCACATAAAATTTGGATGATATCCCGAATTGGTGGTTAGGCGCATCTTATGGTTATTGTTTATGCGGGTTGTCTTTCTGCTTACAACACGATTTTCCGTCCCGTTGTACCATGTATACGTCAGGCGAGCCGTAATTATCTTGATCTTGCCTACTGTCAGACGTATATATAGGATTGATATGGGGTTGCCAGTCTCCTGGGGAGAACGTTCGTCATTTAGACCGACTGACTCACAATACACCTTCGCGCATGCAGTGTTGCCATTTTGTTTAAATTTTCGTGTGTGATATAAAATCGATTTCAAACTGAATAAAAAATGTATCTTTTGCAGTCACCAATTTGTTTATAAGGATTTACATTTTCTACGAAATCACAAGCATAATCACATTTTCAACTTTAAAATAAAATAAATACCATCAGTGTTTCGCATACCTACACGTATCGAAAATTTATAATTATATGCATGATTTTCATTTATGAATGTTTACCGAAACATCAGCATTAAATTTTTTTTTTAGAAACTGCCTACCGTGAGCTTTGGTTATTCCACACGAGTATGTATCTGCATGCGTTATCATGTTGTCCTGTGTATTTTCTATGTCGTGTCCAAAAGTTACAACATTCGATATACCAATTTGGTAAATAAATGACAAGTTCGCGGAATTACAGCTCACGCGGAATAACCCACGTTCACGGTACATCCTATGTTAATTAATAAACTATTTATATATCTAATATAGTTTATATATCTTATATAATTCCTAAACAACATTCCTGAAAACTTAAGAATAGACCTGAAATATTGGATGATTATTTAACATGATTTATTCTAAAAATCATGAAAATAATTAAAAATGTGCAAATATAAGTTAAGGTTGGGTGAAACTTGGTTTCCACTAACTGGTACACACTAAACTAGGACTCCGCTATTTGGTATTTTTGAACTACTGAACAGTTCGGTAAAAGTTTAAAAATCAATAAAAATTTGTAAATTTATTCTGAAAGTATTAAATGAAGTTAACCCCATTTATTTATTTATTTATTATTGTTATCTATCATCTGACATCGTGGTCTTTATGAAATATTCTTAATCCTAGTTTAATTAAATATATGCAGGGATCGTAAACGTTGTTTAAAAGTGTTTGTAGGCATATTAAAATCAAAAACATGATACCCTTATTGAAACCGTCTGCTTATAGAGTTCAAAGGGTCATTGGAGCCATATAAAGTATTCCTCGGAGTTGGTTGGGGCATAAATCCTCATACGATTCAGTAAGGCTGAACTATCAATCTCTGCGCGAAGTATCTTAGCTCCAAATACAGCTTGATCCATCTTACAACGATTTGCCAGCGGTTCGATATTCAGCAAGGCACAACGATGCTCTTAAGGCGGTAGGTTTACTGGGTCACGCCAATGTAGACTTCGTAGTGCAGCCCGGACAAATTTACGTTGCACAGATTCGATCCTGGAGATCCACACAGCTTCATACGGTGACCAAACAACCGATGCAAAATCTAGTATTGATCTAACTAGAGAGCAATAAAGAGCACGCAAGCAAAGTGGATCATTGAAGTCTTGCGCGATTTTTAGAATGAATCCTAATTGACGGTTGGCTTTGTCAACAACAGCTGAATAATGCATCTTGAATGTGAGTTGGTGATCCAGCAACACTCCAAGATCCTTCACTTTATCAACGCGCTCAAGTTCCTGTCCATCGATCGTGTAGTTGTACAGAAGAGGCTTTTTGCACCGCCGATACGAGATGATGCAACACTTAGATACACTCACTTTGAGGAAGCTGGAGTTACACCAATGAGCGAATCGATCCAGTAACTCTTGAAGTTGCCTGCAATCGGCTTCATTTCGTACTACGAGATACCTTTTCAAATCGTCTGCATAAATCAGCAGTCCCCCAGTTGCTAATGATAAACATAAAATTTGGTGATTTAATTGATTTGTTACGAGTAATGGCCTCATAGCCTAGTCAGTAAAGGCATTATATTACAAACCTGGAGGCGGCGGGTTCGCTTACCGGTTCGGTCGAACGAATCTTTCGGGTTGGAAATTTTCTCGACTACCCTGGGCATAAAGTACCATTGTGCTTGCCACACAATATATGTACTAAATTCATGCATCTGTTGGCATCGAATGCTCTCAATTACTAACTGTGGAAGTGCATTTGGAACACTAAGTTGAGAGCACACAATAAGCTAATATGCGCTCAGCAATAAGGTCCATCAACGACGTCTCTGTTTGGCCCCGAGTGCACACATTAATGACAAACACATTTTCTTTCGCTGATCCATGCTTCTTGTGTGGGGAAAGTAATATTGACTTTAATAAATTGAGGTAAAAAGGCTTTTAAAGTATTGCTATGCTTGCTGTCAATATTCGGATATTGATGATATTGATGGTGAAATTGACGGTATTTTGTCAATATATTCTGAGTATTGACAAAGTGAAGTGAAAATCAGATTTTCGTCAATATTTGTCATCAATCATCGTCATTAATTTCTCCTTTTCAATAATATTGTCAGTGTGTCAATTTATTGTCAATATATTGATAAGTGTAGTGGGCGCTAAAAATCAACAATCAAACAACTGCGGATGATATTGAAAGCTGTGATTTCGCAGCTTTGATATTCCGAGCTAACAATACTCACCAGCTGCAAATCTCACCAAACTGTGGTGAGATTGAGTTTCATGATTTTTACTTTACACCCGAACGCAACCGAAACTTCCACAACACTTGGCAACAGTCACTTCGTGCCTTCAATCGGTGAAGATAAAAAAGAGAATTCTCGCCTAACTTTTCAAAAGGTCCTAAGTAACAAATGTAAACAAATCGAGTTTATAAATGCACATTGTAACATTTGTACCAAAGAACATTATGCACACACACACATTCTGATTAATGTCAATTGAATTGAGAAAATTCTGGATTAACAAAACGTCTGAAGTCCAAATTTGCATTAACAATGTTTCACTGTTACATAAGACGTTTGACTATGTTCATCAAGACAAACGTCTGAAGTATCAGAAAAACGAAACAATGCAGATCTGTACTTCGGTCCTTTGTGTATATACGAGTCAAAAGTCTAAAATGTTCAAACAAACCAAAACAATGTGATTGTGCACATCTGAATTTTCATCTCAAGCATTTTACTACTATTTCCGCGTGGGGCGTTGGGGGGGGGGGGGGGGGTTGACCATTATGCACGGCCCATACAAATTTTAATTTTTTTATATGGACAATTGTCTACGCATGGGGAGGGGGGGTCAAGAATACCGAAAAGCTGTCTACGTAGTTAATGAACAGCCCCTAAAATAACACTATTATCAAATAAAACGCAGCTCACGCGACCACCAACGATCGACCAAAACAATCTGTGGGCAGTGTTGCGATATACCGTTAAAAAAAGTTGACGCATTGTCCAATACTCATATTGTTCGTTTAACTCGTATAACTTAAATTATGCACTCATAATGCTTAAAAACAAACAAATAATGTTGAAAACACAAATGACCTATGTAACTGTGATTATAACAAAACGTCCTATATAGCATGTCCAATGTACACCTGACAAGAGCAAAATGTCCTATGTAACATTTTTCAC